ATAAATAAATACAGATAGATACTAGTAGTAAAACAATATTATTTCATCGTTTTTGCAACTTATGTAAAAAAAGACCAGATGAATACCTTGGTTCCTAGTATTATTACTATAATTTTTGAACCAAACAAATAACTAGGATTGCTTTCATAGCAGTGAAAGCCAGCTGAGTGAAGCAATCATGTTTCATGGTTTTTAATAAATAAATAAAAATAAATGTTTAAATAGATATAATAGAAAATTTAAATATTCCCAAACTCTGCACTTCTAGCGTTTATTACATACTTCATACGTCGTGGACCATAAAATTAACATTTTAAAAAGATAAGTATATAGTACCTACTTCTTTTAATCTATGATAGGGTACGATGTCATAGCTTATAATGTCATAGCTTATAATTGCGAATTTGTTGCATAGCTTATAATCTTGAAAATGTGGCATAGCTTATAATGGAAAATTTAAATTGTTCCATAGCTTATAATCGTAGAAATGTGGCATAGCTTATAACGGTTTTCTTAAAATGTGGCATAACTTATAATGGCATAGCTCAAATGTGCTGCAGCTTATAAAATCTCGTTTGTTCTATAGCTTATAATTTTAAAAACGTGGCATAGCTTATAACGCGCGGGAATTACGTCATAGCGGATGGGACAGCTGATCTATCCTGAGTAGACAAAAAAATTATCGTGCAATGGTCCTCAAATTATCGTATGGACTAGCAGCCGCTACTCGGCAATAAGAAGTCGCGTTAAGTGCAGCCAACGTAGCAAAACCAAAAGTATTTCAAGTTTTTTTTACTCCTGGACGACATATGTTATAGATGTATATATTAAATGGTTTTTTGTTGAATAATAGAATAATTTTTTGTATCTGCTGTTTTACTTTAATTATGTAAGCTGAAATATATTATCATAAGTTTAATATTGCTCGTGTTGCTTATTTATGCTATGCATGATAACTATTGTATAGGTAATATTTATTTTTTAATATTGTGTAATACCGGTGTAAAAATACTTTTTCATAGATAAAACCGTAGACTATGCAACATAAGTAGACTTCTCGTCCCATTGTTGATTTTGAAGCTTGTTTTTCGTTTCTATTTCATGTACGTCGACACTGATCGCTAGTGTAAACGAAATCTTGTTTCTATTATATTAGGGTAATTTTATGATTTTTGTGCTTTACTGTTTGGTTATATAACTAGGAGACCAGATATTTTTATGATAAGATAGTTTTATTTGGTTAAATTAGGTTTTAAATAACTGAAATAACAATTAAGAAACATATTGTAAAAGAAATACAACCTCTACAGTTGGCATAGAATAGCAATAAAATTGGCTTCAGCTTTTCAACAAGAATAACAAATCTTCTAAGGGACTTGATGTTTGATCTACGATCAAAACATATTTCGTAGATTTGTCATACTTATGGAACAGCTTAAGCCCAAATTTTAGTTTTATTTCTGTACGGTGCAATGTAGATTATAGAGGTCATGTTTTGTTTACAATTTGTTTCACTGTTTACGCCTTCATTTAGCCAAATAAAACGATCTTGTCATGTAGCGGTCAGTGTCACAGGACAAGCACTACAAAATAGTTCAACCCCCATTCCTGTAAACATTAGAAGTTAATGCAACTTTTCTGTTAAAAAGTAACCCAAGCATGATTTTTTATTGCAAGAAAAATTAAAATATTCTTCCCAAAGATCGGAAACATACGTTTGACAATAGTTTTGTCCATTGATGTAATTTCTAATATCAAAAATGGTATATCCAAGTATTTATAAACAGTACTAAAATTCTAAAATCCATACTGAACTCTACGTCATTAGCAAAACTTGACACAAGAAGGCACTTAGTTACCAAAATAGTCATAATGTAATGTAATAAGGAATAAGTAATAATTTCATTTAAGATTTTATTTGTATTGATCAAGTGATTCAGTACTAAGTAAAAGTGTAAAGAAAAAAACAGATTTCTAACAACATATTTAATATAAAAATATTCAAATATATTTTTACTCGTAAATACTCTCAAATACCTCTCGACTGACTGGTTCTTTACAAATTGGTTGCCCCTGGGTTGGAAGAACTAAGTGAACAAAAATATTACAACAGAGCGTTGGCAGTGGAAGCTTGATGTTAAATAAAAATTTAGTGGGCCCTGTGGAATAAAATTACCCCCAGAAGTCCTTAGGGGACGTTCTTGGTAGTGTTTAGTTCTTCCAAGGCTGAAAACAATCTTAAGACTACACTGACTCTACCTTGCACACTACCACACTAAACTTAGTGTTGCACCCAAGGTGTATCTTTTGTAGTGGATTCTTATTGGTTATAATTACGACTCTTTGAAAGAACTATATTTATGCTAGGATTGAAATACGAAAGGTTAATGATAATCAGTAAATAAATCACAATTCCATATATTTAAAAATAACTTCAGTGGAGAATATAATTATATTATAACGATGACACAAGGTGATGTGTTATGAAATGTATGGCCTTTTTACCCTAATATATTTGCCATTAATGTTATCACTACTATACAGGGTGTTTTTTTTTTTTTAACTTGCATCTTTATTAATGTAAAAACCGCAATAGATAGAAATATGCAGTTGGCGGGAATCATCTATTGACGTAGGGGGCCCAATTATTTTGAATTCAACGTTACATTCACATTCCCCCCCCTTTCCCCCCAACTTAATTTTTTTAAATAGCAAGGTACCCCTTGTGACATATCAAATAAAAGAGCATGAAAAAAGAAAATGTTTGACGAAAAAAATTGAAAATCGGTTAAAAATTTGTGAGATATTCCCCCCCTCCCCTCCCCCGGAACTTAATTTTTTTTTAAAGCAAGGTACCCTTTGTGACATATCAAATGAAAAAGCATGAAAAAAGAAAATTTTTTGTGAAACAAAATTAAAATCGGCTCATGAATTTGTGAGATAATCCCCCCCCTTTTCCCCTACCCATAACTTGTTTTTAATAGCAAGGTCCCGCCCTTGTGACATATCAAATGAAAAATAAATTTCACCAAACATTTTCTTTTTTCATGCTCTTTCATTTGATATGTCACAAGGGGTACCTTGCTATTAAAAAAAATTAAGTTCCGGGGAAGAGGGGGGGAAAATATCTCGCAAATTTATGAACCGATTTTAAATTTTTTTTCATCAAACATTTTCTTTTTTATGCTCTTTCATTTGATATGTCACAATGGGTACCTTGCTATTTAAAAAAATTAAGTTGGGGGCAGGGGGGAAAGGGGGGGAATGTGAATGTAACGTTGAATTCAAAATAATTGGGCCCCCTACGTCAATAGATGATTCCCGCAAACTGCATATTTCTATCTATTACGGTTTTTACATAAATAAAGATGCAAGTTTAAAAAAAAACACCCTGTATAACGAACCTCTCGGTAGAGGAATGAAGTGATTGGCGCGGTTACAATATAGCCGCGACAGTGACATTAAGGTTTGAAATTTTAATGTTTGAGACGATCCAACACTCACAAAATCCAAAGACAAATGCTAGTTTTTTTTTGGCTAGTGAAATCACATTGAAAAATTCCCTGACTTTTCCCTGACGATTCCATGATTTTTTTAAACTTTCCCTGATCGAAAAATTCAAAATTACAATTTTAATTCTAACTAAATCTTCAAAAGGACTAATCTTTATCTGAAGAATATCTTATGTTTTTTGACATGCAAAAAATACATAAAATCTATAGATACAGGCTTGTAGCTTATATTCAAACTTTGCAGCTTGCTTTAATAAAATTAAACAGAGTTTGATAAGATGATACACAGTTTACAACAAAATTTAATTTGTACAAAAACACAAAATTTACTTGTACAAACATATTTTTTAGTTTATACCGCGACACGGCATACGTACTCTCACCAGATCGACCTTTACAAACAATTATTTTAAACATTTTACAATTTTCCCTGACTTATGACAAAATTTCCTGACTTTTCCAGATATTTAATATTTCCTGACATTTCCAGGTCACTATAGCCACCCTGAAAGACTATAAAATTGAAGTGTAGATCTCGTTGTCCAATTTGTTACACAGTATAACTGTACGTAACTCAAGGCAATGGTATGAAAGATTATTTATTATTTATAGCTAAAGAGTGTTATGGCGGATACGTCTATATTGGAATACACTCCCACTAACTACAATCGCAAGCCAGAATCGAACCTGCAGCCCTTCCAAGTGTATTAAATTTTCCAAGTAATTGGCAAAAATAAAAATAAACTATTGGCAATTATACTCTTGTAACTTTTTGTTTGTAATAATACTGTGTTATGGGAACAATGTGTTTGCAATGACGATTATAATACAAACATTTTAATCAAATTACGTTAATTTTATCACAAATAATTGAACATTTATTTATTTTTTAGAATAATGATAATATCACTGACTATGTATCAATACCAATTAATTAGATCAAAATGGATACAAAATGTACTTATCAGTATCTGAATCTGAAAACATGTGCTCAAAGAACAGGAGGCCAAAACATAACATAAAATGTAACGGCTTGTACGACCCACTAAGAGTAATTATAACACTAATACAATAAATAATATATAGTTACTTACAACTGGACATCAGACACAAAACACTTAAGGAATCAGAGAGAATAGGATGAGTTTTTTTCCAAAATGCGGACAAATTGAATTTTGGTTGAACTAAGACGTGAAATTTCGGGAGCGGTATGTATAAGTTGTTTTAGTTAGAAAATATAAATAAAATTAGAAGCTTTAACATTTAAAGTTCAGAAGTTTATTTACAATTCAATTCAAGACTGAAACATAAACCTGACTGATATTGTTTACCTTCAAGTCTTCAACTAACATATGATACATTTAACATATGTTGATATGTTAATATAACATTATAATACATCTTTCCCCTTTAAAAAAACAGCAAACAAATTTGAAAGAATTAACTAAAAACAATAACCAACCAAACTTCTCCCTTCTTTTGAGACCATTATATTGTATTCTGAAATCTTGATGGTAGCTTGATTTCTCTACGCGGTCTTAGTTGTACTGGCTCGTCTTGCCTTGGAACTGACTGGGAATTGTTTTGTTGAGTGAGTGATGGTTTCAGATGGCGGCGATTTCTTCTTAATGTAGCTCCGTTATCACCTTCTACCCAGTAACTTCTTGGAGTTGGTCCTTGATTAACAATCTTTCCCTGCTCCCACCTTCCTTCATTTCTGAAGACAACTCTTTCGTTATTTCTTACAACCCTTAAGTCCTTGGCTGACCGATCATAGTATTTTTTCTGCAGCTGTTGTCTTGTATTTAACCTGTCTTGTACTCCATCATTCAGCGTTGGTTTCAGCAGTTCCTCAGGGATTGTTGTCTTACACCTGCGTTGAAACATCAGCTGAGCTGGAGAATATCCCAGATGCTTAACGGGCATGTTCCTAAGCTCCAATAAAGCCATTTTCAAATCCTTATTGTCATACTGTACTTTCCTTATCAACTCTTTGGCTATTCCAACTGCCCTTTCAGCAAGCCCATTGGATTGTGCATAGCCTGGACTGCGTGTCACAATTTCAAAATTCCATTCACGGGCAAATTCCCTCATTTGGGCACTGTTGTAAGGGACATTATCCGCTACCATTATATCAGGAGGGCCAAATCTACTGAAGATGTCTTTGCATGCTGATATTACAGACGTTGCTGATTTACATGGCATTTTAACCAGCTCCAACCAGTTTGAGTAAGCATCCATCATGACCAAGTACACATTTCCTCCATATGAAAATATGTCACATCCGATACGCTCCCATGGTCTAGTAGGTATAGGATACGGCATAAGGGTTTCCTTTGCATTACTCCTGGAAAACCTTTCACATATCCTGCAACGAGCCACAAAACTTTCAATGTCTGTAGCCATTCGTGGCCAATAAAGTATCTGTCGAGCCCTAGCTTTGCACTTTTCAATTCCTCCATGCGCGATATGGATTCGCTGAAGCATGTCCTGTCGTAGCTGTCGTGGCACAATCAGTTTGTGATTTAAAAACAATAAACCATCTTCTTCAGATACCATATGTCTTTGGTTCCAATAGTGGCGTACTATCTCTGGGGTGTCTTGCTTCCTTTCTGGCCAAACTTCTTTGCAGTATCTCTTCACGATAGCAGTTTCTTGGTCCTCTTCAGTGTAACGCTGGAATAATTTCTTCTTCTCTTCAGTCATAGGCAATGAACTTGTTAAACTGTGTACTTGAAATTCTGAAGACACTGTCATTCCTGTGCATTTTAATGCTGCTCATGACAACGTATCAGCAATAAGTTGGCTACTACCAGGTAAGTACTTTACTTCCAGATCATAATTCAAACACCTTAGTCTCATTTTCTGTAGCCGACCTGGTACCACGTGCAAATCTTGTTGAAAAATATTTACAAGCGGCTTGTGGTCAGTCTGAACTGTTACTTTATAGCCATAAATAAACCTGTGAAACTTCTCAACAGCAAAAACTATAGCTAGAGTTTCCTTTTCAATTTGCGAATATCTCTTCTCTGTATCAGTCATTGAACGGGACATGAAAGCCACTGGCTGCCCACTCTGCAACAAACAACATCCTAGGCCATCTTGAGAAGCGTCTGTTTGTATTTCAAGAGGTCTTCGAGAGTCAAAGTATACCAAAACTGGTTCACTGGAAATTAATGTCTTGATAATCTTCAGAGCATCTTCATGCTCTACGGTCCATAAGAAGTCCACATCCTTTCTTGTCAAATATCTGAGGGGTGCAGTGATTTTTGCTAAATTCGGTATGAACCTCGATAAATACTTTAGCATGCCCAATAACCGCATTACCCCTTTCTTGTCCGTGGGTGGGTCCATTTCAACTATGGCCTTTACATAATCTGGGTCGGGTTGGATTCCTGCAGCCGATACTATGTGTCCCAGATACTTAACTTCGCTCTTCTTAAATTGCATCTTGTTTGGATTAAACTTGATTCCAAGTTTAAGGGCTGTGTCCAAAACTCTCTTTAAATTTTCGTCATGCTCTTCCGATGTCGTTCCTCCTACAATAATATCATCATGTACTATGTTAACTCCCTTCAGGTTTCCAAAGCATTTGTAGTTATTTTTCTGGCACAATTCTGGACCCGAACAGATTCCAAAAGGAAATCTACAAAATTGATATCTCCCAAATGGGGTACTGACTGTGCACAGTTCACGACTCTCCTCATCTAAAACAATTTGAAAAAACCCATCCTTAAGATCCAAAACAGTAAAATATTTGTAACCACTCAATGTTACCAGAATATCATCAGGGTGTGGCATTAGAAAGTGCTCTCTCATTACCACCTTGTTCAATGGCATCGGATCTATGCAGATTCTCAAAGACTTATCGGGTTTTTCCACGATCACCAGAGGATTGACCCATGCTGTAGGTTTGTCAACTTTTCGAATCACCCCAGTTTCCTCAAGTTGGTCCAACTTTTCCTCTAGTTTTTCCTGTAAACTGTAAGGTACTCTCCGTGATTGTCGAATTTGTGGGATAGCACCCTCCTTAAGCTGAATATGATGAGTGCTTGGAAACTGTCCCAATCCTTCAAAAGCTGTCTTGTAGCCGGTTAAAACATCATCCTTATCCTTAAAATTCAAACATATTGATGACACTCTCTAAATTGACACAATCGTTCAGTCCTAAAATTGGCAGTTCATGTTCGACATTCACTACAGCAAAATTCACATCTGCAGTTACACCTGTAATTGTTTTACATTGTAACATCACAAGACCTAGTGGTTTGATTTTGAATTTTTCATCTCCCCAGGCTGAGAGTACACAAGAACTACGTTTTACGTGTGTAATGTTCATTTTCCGTACATAACTAGCAGGTAAAATACTGATCTCTGCACCTGTATCTAGTTTAAATCTAACTTGTGTACCACCAACAGTCAAGTTTTCCGTCCACGATTTTTCACTTTGACCTTTCACTCCACTAATGTTTAAGCTTACCGAGCCTAAACTAACATCGCTCACACAAGAGTCTTCATCGTGTTGTTCCTTGTTTGTAACAGCATGAGATTTTATAGTTTTACTCCTACAGACCTTTGCAAAATGATTTTTACCATCACATTTCGAGCATGTTTTGCCATATGCAGGACATTTACCCCGAACATCTTTGTAGCCGCAAAAGCTACACAGATCATTCTGTTTTTCTTTTGCAATACTCCGCGAAAGTTCTTGATTTGGTACATTATTGACAACACATACACTGTATGGATCCGACTTAGTCCCCGAAAGCTTGGTTTCATTGTGCTCTACAATAGTCCTACATTGATCCTTGCTACTCTCTACAATCATACAGAAATCAATAGCTTTCTTCAAGTCAAGTTTTGTATCTCTTAATAGACGCTCTTGAGTACTTTTATCTCTTATACCTAAGACAATTCTATCTCTAATCATATTGTCAGGTTCAAGAAACTCGCATGATTTAGCTGCTATTTTTAACTGCATAACAAACTTACTGAAGTCTTGACCTTCTTCCTGCTTCATTCTATAGAATTTAAACCGCTCAAATATGACATTTTTCAGAGGACAACAGTAAGATTCAAACTTATCAAGTACGCAATCAAAACTATCTTTGTCATTATCTTCAAATTTAAAAGTATTATATACATCTAGGCCATCATCGCCTAACAGATTAAGCAGCTGCGCAATCTTAATTTCATCCTTAAGTTTCTTACCATGACTAGTAGCTATTAAGTACAGTTCAAACTTCTGACGAAATCTTTTCCAATTTTCACTCACATTTCCTTCAAAACTCATAGGTTCAGGCAACCTAAACAATCCAGATACTTCCATTATTTCTTCTAGGTTTCAAAATACACCTGACACCATGTTTTAGTTAGAAAATATAAATAAAATTAGAAGCTTTAACATTTAAAGTTCAGAAGTTTATTTACAATTCAACTCAAGACTGAAACATAAACCTGACTGATATTGTTTACCTTCAAGTCTTCAACTAACATATGATACATTTAACATATGTTGATATGTTAATATAACATTATAATACATAAGTTGGTGAGGATGAAATGAGTTTTTCCTAACTTAATTTAATTCCAAACAAATTATATCCCTGGCAATTATATCCATGCGGCTGTGGCTTTAGGGTTTGTTGAAAATTAAATTTTTGCCAACTAACACTGCAAACTACGGATTGATTTGCATGACTCAACTTAACAACTCACCCCACGCATAGGAAGGTTGGAGACACACTGGTCACTGAGACAGACCCTTGGCTAGAAGCTTTCCCCACCATTCGGTACAAAAGAAAGAAATTTAAATTTTGCTTGTCGCTTGTTTTGGGCGACACACCAAGCCTTAGTTGCAAACCAAACTTGAGCATAAATGGGGCCTAAGGTAAATATCAGGGCTATCCCTAGGGTTGGCAGCGCCCGGAGCAAACGTGGTTGTGGCGCCCCCTCCCCTCCAGTAATAATAGTCGCATTCACATATTTTAATCAATTTTATGTATAGATAATGAGATAAAAGTTATAAATGAACATAATATTTGTATTAGCAAGCCTATTCTTTAAATATAATAATCTTAAAAATTTGGTTGTCCGGATGCAGATTAACTCCTAGGGAGGAATTTGGAAATCCATTATGTCTTACTGGGATAATTATGAAGTACTTTTATTTAAGGACTGGTCTTGGTTGTGTTACTTACTTTTTTTAAAGTAGAAAATCAATATGATTAGGCTCAATAATGGAGTGTATTTTAATGTTTCATCAAGAATAATAGGCGAACAGCATTAAACATTTTGGTTTATAAAATATTTTTTAGATAAGGGTAGGGACCTTAATAAAACACAACAATGAATCATAATAGGTAGTCTATAAATTGGAGAAAGTTTTACTGTTTAAAAAATACTTCTTACAACACAATTGAAATAAATAAAGATTATAAGGCGAAGTTAAGAGCTGAGCAACCCTTCTGCATTCTTCTGTCATGATATCCTGAAACAAATAAACAATAACTCAAAATTGTTATCAGAACTAAATAGAGAAAGGGGTGTCTTGTTAGCTTGGTGGTTAATTTGTCCTGGACTTTGCTGCAAGAGAAATTGAGATTGACTTAAAGGATCCTTGCACAAGGTGAGAGGATTCAACATAATTTTTCCATGGATATTGCACACACTTGCCCAGCACAGCACAAACCTGCTAACAGCAGGCTACTACTAAAATTAAAGTAAAGTAAAGTACTGCAGAACCAAATCAGATTACGCTCTTGTGTCCACCATAGCATTATAGAACATCATAGAGCACTAAACGGTTTTCATAGTCTTTTATCAATTAAGTATTAAATGTATCCATTCAAATACATACAAATTATAACCCAGTGAATGATTGAAATACATGTCATGATGAAACCATACAGCGGTAGCCCAAGTACGGCTTCATAAATTCATATGCTAGTTGGTCTGACCATACTGGGCAGGAGTAGAGTGGCCAGCTGTGCTGCGGTTAGCGTATATTCCGGTGCCGACCACCAGGGGTAATGTGTAGTTACGGCGCACGCCGCTGCAGCATCAAGTGCTAGCGACCGTTTCCATAACAACTTGGTAGTTGGGAGTAGTGTTGCCAACTTTGGAGGAATCCCCCGGAATTGGAGTTTACTGACTTATTTAGGCTAATATTAAGCAGTAAATTAATTTAAATGCCATCTTTTATTGTATTTTTTTTAAACATATATTTGTTATACTTTTGTAGTTTCATTACAATGATTCAAAGTTTTTCTTTATTAATCCATAATTTTAGGAAGTGGTTTATTGGAAGGTTTTGTTTTATATTTGCAAGGTCAAAATAAAATTTAACCAGGATGTCTAGTAGTCAGGGAAAACGTCAGGTATTAGTATTGAATTTCAAAATGGTCTTGAAAAGTTTGGATTTAGTCTTTATTTTGATATCAAAGTCGGTAAATTGCATGATTTTACTTCAATCGTGCTAGACAACGATCACGTTTCCGTGACGGCGCAAGACGATGGATGATGTGTCTACACGACCGCGGGAGATGTTCTTACACCGCGACTGTGCTAGACGACGTTTTCGTGACCACGGACCACGGGAAAAATGATCACGTCTTTTCTGCGATCGCGCAAGACGATTGTATGTACGGCCGCTGAAGATGTTCACAATTTTGCCGCAATTGTGGATGACGATGACGTTTCGTGACCACGGCATTCAATGATGATGTCTACACAGCCGCGGAAGATGTTCATGATTT